TAGGCTAGTTTGTGGAGGTTAACAACATGCCAAGGAAAACAAGCCACAACCTTATCTTGGACCACCATGTTGGAGAAGATGATTGTGCTTCTTAAGGAAATAGGTTTTTATTCTTAATGCCAGTCTCCCTTACCACTCCCCCATTTGTATGTCCCTCTGAACCCCCAATATACATCTTTAAAGGATGCTGAACTCCTTCCTTGCACCACTCCCTCCAACCACCTCTACCAATTGACCCCTTGAACACCACCTAATTCCAGGATGCTGAACTCCTTCCTTGCACCACTCCCTCCAACCACTTTACCAACCCACCCCTTCAACACCACCTAATTCCAGGATGTTGAACTTCTGCCTTGCACCGCTCCCTCCAACCACCTCTACCAACCCACACCTTCAACACCACCTAATTCCAGGATGCTGAACTCCTTCCTTGCACCACTCCCTCCAACCACCTCTACCAACCCACCCCTTCAACATCACCTAATTCCAGGATGCTGAACTCCTTCCTTGCACCGCTCCCTCCAACCACCTCCACCAACCCACACCTTGAACACCACCTAATTCCAGGATGCTGAACTCCTTCCTTGCACCACTCCTCCAACCACCTCTACCAACCCACACCTTCAACACCACCTAATTCCAGGATGCTGAACTCCTTCCTTGCACCACTCCCTCCAACCACCTTTACCAACCCACCCCTTGAACACCACCTAATTCCAGGATGCTGAACTCCTTCCTTGCACCACTCCCTCCAACCACCTCTACCAACCCAGCCCTTGAACACCACCACCTAATTCCAGGATGCTGAACTCCTTCCTTGCACCACTCCCTCCAACCACCTCTACCAACCCACCCTTCAACACCACCTAATTCCAGGATGCTGAACTTCTGCCTTGCACCACTCCCTCCAACCACCTCTACCAACCCACCCCTTCAACACCACCTAATTCCAGGATGCTGAACTCCTTCCTTGCACCACTCCCTCCAACCACCTCTACCAACCCACACCCTTGAACACCACCTAATTCCAGGATGCTGAACTCCTTCCTTGCACCACTCCCTCCAACCACCTCTACCAACCCACCCCTTCAACACCACCTAATTCCAGGATGCTGAACTCCTTCCTTGCACCACTCCCTCCAACCACCTCTACCAACCCACCCCTTGAACACCACCTAATTCCAGGATGCTGAACTCCTTCCTTGCACCACTCCCTCCAACCACCTTTACCAACCCACCCCTTGAACACCACCTAATTCCAGGATGCTGAACTCCTTCCTTGCACCACTCCCTCCAACCACCTCTACCAACCCACCCCTTGAACACCACCTAATTCCAGGATGCTGAACTCCTGCCTTGCACCACTCCCTCCAACCACCTCTACCAACCCACCCCTTGAACACCAACTAATTCCAGGATGCTGAACTTCTGTCTTGACCCTCTATCTCTGAACACATCTATCCATCCACCCCCTTCAGCACAACCCAATTCCAGGTTGCTGAGGGTTTATTTTCAGAAGAATTATCAAGCACTAATTATCACTGATAATTATTAAGAGAATACTACCTGTATTACATTAGAGTAAATCCAACCCACCTTTCCATTAATGATGTTTGAAAGACTTAACTTTGTGACCTTTCTGTTGTCATAGGAACATGTGCCACTATAGAACAAATCTTTGATTTGAACACTGTCAGTTTGGTGTCTCTGTTCAACATTGCTTTCTCTTAGCCTGATTTCTGACCTATTTGCTGTTGGTAGGAACATGTGCTACCACAGAGCGAATCTGTGATTTGCACCTGCAATCAGGAGTTTCTTGCAAGCCTATGGTATGTGCAGCAATTTACTGCACCATAGATAAATGAGTCTCTCACGCTCCACTTGCTGGGAGAAGGTTTTGGGATTGCTATTTTTGTGATTTTGAAAAATCCACGCTTGTGCTCATTTTAGTGAAGATAGTTTCTTTAAAAAGTGAAAATACTCAATTCTTTGAACCAGCAAGAAAGATTGTTTTTCAAACCTTATTTGTCAATCTCACTGCTTAGTAGAGGCCAGGAATCAAGCTACCATCAATCACATGCTGTCATGAAGAGCCAATTGGAGGTTATTATTTCTGTTAAATAGGTGGTGTATACTGCAGGGACATAAAACACAATGTACACCCAGCTGGTAACATGTATAATAGTAGGTCACATAGCAAGTAATGTTTAGTTCTTCACAATGGCTTGATCTTTTTTTCTGGGTTTTCTTCTGAGTGAGTTGACACACTGAAGAATATTTCAGTTACTTCCTGGTATGATAACTAAACGGAGACATTTGTGAAACATATCGTAGATTATTACCACTTTGTTGAAACTCATGAGTATGCATATTGTGCTGGCAAATAAACAACCACACATGTATTCACAACAATTCATCCTGCAGAGTTGCATCCCTTGGGTGCACCAGAATCCTATGATTGTGGGTTTGATCAAATATGTTTCTTGCTTTGTCAACACTACCTGTGAAGGTCCAGGTTAGAATTGATCTTCAGTAACCCATGCTTGTCGTAAGAGGCGACTAACGGGATCAGGTTCGCTGACTTGGTTGACACATGTCATCAGTTCCCAGTTGCGCAGGAACCGTGAAGATCCGGGGTAGAATAGGTCTTCAGCAACCCATGTGCTTGCCATAAAAGGCGACTATGCTTGTCGTAAGAGGCGACTAACGGGATCGGGTGGTCAGTTTCGCTGACTTGGTTGACACATGTCATCGGTTCCCAATTGCGCAGATCGATGCTCATGCTGTTGATCACTGGATTGTCTGGTCCAGACTCAATTATTTACAGACCACCGCCATATAGCTGGAATATTGTGGAGTGCGGCCTAAAACTAAACTCACTCACTCACCCCAGTTGCGCTGATCGATGCTCATGATGTTGAACACTGGATTGTCTGGTCCAGACTCAATTATTTACAGACCACCGCCATATAGCTGGAATATTGATGAGTGTGGTGTAAAACTAAACTCACTCACTCACTTTGTCAACACCATCATCGTTCCCAAGGATTACACAAAGTAAACGTCTGAGACCTACATGACTTCAGTCTCTATTCCCATATCAAGCTAACACTCAGTGCTACAACTGGAAGAGTGTTCCAAGTAGTGTTAAACCCAAACAACTAACTTTTAACTTAAGTCTGATATGAAGAATGAGTCAGCACTTTGTTTTGCCCTCAGTATGAAAACGTTTCACTTTATGATTCAGGTCGCACTGCGCTATGGCGAATTTCAGATGAGAAAGATCAATTATTGGAAAATTGGAAAATTGCTATAATAAGTATGAAATGAGTAAATTAGCAGGGCTACAATATCCCGTCTGTGATTATGGCTGTAATTAGGTGGTAAGAATGTGTGGTATGATAAACTTTGCCAAGAGACAGCCATGGTTGTGAGAGAGAGGACTGACTGAGCAGAAGTCAGTAGATAGCACACACAGTTGAGGCCCATCTAGGGTGGAATGTAAGTCTGGGTATAGGGTAGATTTGGTCCCTGAGTTGAGGCCCATCTAGGGTGGAATGTAAGTCTGGGTATAGGGTAGATTTGGTCCCTGAGTTGAGGCCCATCTAGGGTGGAATGTAAGTCTGGATATAGGGTAGATTTGGTCCAGGAGGGTATCATCACGCATGGATTCAGCTGTTTGGAAAAGAAACACAAAAGAAACACATTTAACATTTATGTTGTATTTAAGTGGAAAAAATGTTTAAAAATGTATCACGTGTTATTTCTAATAAATATCTATATAGAAATGGTAGATGTACCTGGACCTGTAAACATAGTCAGCTATATCAATCTTACCTAAATCTAATCTAAAGTGTGATTCCTCTTTATCCTACCTGGATAACGACATGATCAGGTGTAGGTAGAACTAAAATCTAGAATGATCGGGCAAGACTATATTGCCTCAGCTCCAACCTGAAATTAACATTTGTTTGGGGGTCCTTTAGGGTATTTTATTTCTGGGACTAAATGTCAATCAACAGGATCATATTAAGGTATGGCCTGAAACTACTTATAAGTTTGGACAACTTTAGGGAGCATTGATTTGGAGAATGACTTGGATTATTGTGGCTCTGATGTGAGTAGTTGTGGCTTGGCTGTTTGCATGAGAAGGAGGTTTAAGGATGTCTGGGTGATATGGATTGTGATGGATTATGTCTGGTAGGGATTATCTATAGACTCAGTGGAGGCTGAAGTCAGTGTTGTTTTCAGTTTACTGGGAGTAGATGAACAAGGCTTGTTCTGTATTAGTTCTAATAAGATCAGTGTAATGAAAAAGTGGGGGAAAAGGCTTGTCTGTCTCTTGTGTTCTTCATCAAGAGTTTGTATTGAATTTGTTCTTCTTTTTCTCATCTTGAATTTATTATAAATAAAATACGAGAAATAACAAACAAAATTATAAAAGAATATATATTCTCTTGTGCAATTACTTGTTTAAGAAAAGTGTATCCACTTTCAACCATTTAGTGGTTGATTTGTGTATTCTGTCCAGGCCGAGAATTTTTTTTTGTCTGTAGCATAAATGTTTTTTATCCTGTATAACCTTACATGCAATGAAACAGATTTAAAGTTTGTTGTGATTATTTCCTTGAACCATACTGTCTGTTGAACTCAGTGTCAGTGTATCTGGAAATATTGTCTGAGATCTGATACTTGTTCTGGAATCCTTCTCCCTGTTTCCTGCTTCCTTTCCCACCTACATATGTACGTCCTGCCATCCTTCAATCACGACTTCCTACCATCTGCACATTCAGTAATATATATTTAATCATGTAAGTCCAAAGCCATTTCTACACCACATCTCAGACAAACATTCATTTCTCCATCAAAGTAAGGATAACGCTTATCCTTCCCTATACTTCTCCATTTGTCTGTCCATCCTTTCTATCTGTCGGTGTATATCTGGCGTATTGCCTGGTGAAGGTTTGAGACAGACTGCTGGTCCAATCACTGCCGCTCTCCCTTCTTCCTCTCAGCCAGGAGAGTCGGATTTCAAATTCCTCCACAAACACAGGCATGGCATCTTATAGTTGACTCTGGTTATACCAAGGGGAGCTTTCAGCCCACAAATTTTCGAAAAAAAGAGGGTATTCACCATCAAACCCACTTTGACCATTGGGCAACAACTCAAGCTATCAAGGTGAGTGAAAATCTCATCAAGATCGGTCAAGTTGCAGCAAAATAGGAGGAAAGTTGCATGTAACTTTTGGAGGGGCACATCCTCCATGATAGCGATGTATGTATGTCTACCAACTTAGGAGGTCATCACATCACTAGATAGAGATAACGGAACCTCTTATCCCGAGCCAGGCTTACAACTTTCAAAAGTACCTTCATAGGCTGTCGACATAATGTAATATTATGTGTAATTAGGAAAGTATGTTTTAGCTAATTTCACTGATATTATAAGTGTTTAGTTGCACTATTTAGACTAAAGTCAAAGAGGTGCAGGAACTAGACTTGGAAAGTGTTCAAGCAGCATTTGGCTAGAACGATGGTATATTTTTCTCATTATATTGTGCTGAAAATAGATAGAGCGTCTGTGAACCTGGAAATGTTATTACATAAAGTGATGAATTCATTTATGAATTTAATGTAATTAGTTCATCAAAAAGACTGTAATTAGTGTTATTTTAGAGTAAGAGTGTTTACTCTATAGATAGAAGGTGTATATTGTTAATTATATTTCATAATCTTTTCCTAACAACATATTATTTTATATTATCAATTTTTTGTTTATATGTATCTTACTTTTAATTAGACAGCCAGGATAAATTTATTTAAATGTTCACTGAAATGTGAGTGTTAGTTATGGTTTATGTTTTATTGTTATGAGATTTTAATTAAATTCAGTAAGCTAGGAGACACTGGCAGACAAACTGAATCTATGTACTGTTCCCTGTTTGTTAAATCAAGTAATGTTGGTGAGGAGCTATTTCAGTTGAATCATATTAGTGTGAAACTGGGCAAAATAAATGTCCGTGACAAAGTTCAAGTAATACAGGTTTTGTATCAGAAATTTCTATTCGCTTTCATGTGAAAGTAATGGAATCAAGAGAGAATATCAGTCAGTTGTGATATTCAGTATTCCATAATATAGTATGTATCTGACCTAATACAGCCTAAATGCCATTGTATACATTGACTTCAGGGTTAATATTACACAGGGAGTCTATAATGTTACTAATTACCGCCCTGTTCTCAGTGATTCAGAACTATGTGTAACATCAAGTAATTACTATAAGCACCTGAAACATAACCTTGCTGTACCCCTGCTGCTGGAGATTGTGATATCTGAGAGCGCTGATGGCCAGTGGTGTGGTCTGATCTAACTGCTGAGTGACAAGTATCGGCCATTAAAGGCTGCAATGTACTGGACAGTCCAGTCTGGCTCATGTATGTTATCTTAGTGATAAGTGACCATAGCCTCGGTTGATGGACTCTGCTTCTGTCTGTGTGTGACCCCAGAAGATTACTAATGTTAAAAGCTAGTAATCAGGCCAAGTGAATTACTTGGTTAGTTTCACGAATGGATCAAACCTAGGTTTTGAAAACTTAAAACTGAGTGACTGAGTTTTGGTTTTACGCCGCTTTTAGCAATATTCCAGCAACATCATGGCGGTGAAAAGTTAAAAAAAAGTGAATGTGCTGTTTAAGCGCAAAAATGTAAAATATATAATTATATGATGTTTTTTATTCTTTTTTTTTTTTTTTCATTTTACTTTAAATTTCTTTCATATGTTTAATTGACCTCAGGGTGGTGGTGTAGCCTAGTGGTTAAAGCTCTTGCTTGTCAAGCCAAAGATTCGGGTTCGAGTCCCCACATGTGTACAATATGTGAAGCCCATTTCTGGTGTCCCCTCTGTGATATTGCTGGAATATTGCTAAAAGTGGCGTAAAACTAAACTGACTCACTTTAATTGACCTCAAATCCTCCCTTTACAGTATATATTACATAATGTGTCTCCTCAATTGCATCATAGTGATCATGGAAATTGTGAAGAACATGATTTTGAAGTAACAAACTGGTTAACATTACATTTAATAACCTTTTGCCATTGTTAGAAATAATGAACTTGTGTAGACTGGAATTCAGTTACTTCTTTGAGTGGCAATTTAAAGTTGGAAGTCAGATAGAACAAGTATATATGGATGACAACTTCATTTGTTCTTTTATTCTAGAGCACAACATTTCAATACAGGTTCTTGTATCATTTTCATACTTGAAAACGATACAAGAACCTGTATCAAAACGTCATGCTCTTAGATTAAAAGAAGTTGTCATCCATATATTCTTGTTCTATCTGGAATTCAGTAAGTATGTATCTATGGTCTGACAGCTGTTGTTTTGTCCGCCATAGATACAGAGGTCAAGCAAGTGGACAGGCTGCCTTGTGATAAGCCAAATCTCCTTTTCTGTCTCCCTGGACCTACGATGCATTTAGGATAAGTTAATGTTTGAACCAAAACAATGTTCTCCCATTTGCTGCTGGACTGGAGTGTGTTTGGTGAACCTGTTACATTAGGGAGAGTGTCAGTCAGACATGACAGGGTTGGCACCAGGAGGACTGCTGACCCACAAATCAAACTGAGAAATATGTCCTGAGTCTTGCACAAAGATGTATGTTCCATTTTCCAGTTACTGACTTAATTTTTCTTGACACCTACATAGGTACATCACTGTCAATTGTACAATTCATCTGATCCAACCAGCCCATGTTTGAACAGTTTCTGTAAACTTGTTCTGTAAGCCATGCTTTAATGTGTATATTCACATCTCAGTGCTGTGGATCCCACGGTTTCCTTTTCCAGTGTCAGTTAATTTCAGACTAGTGTGACCGCTTCCGTGGTGTAGTGGTTAGAGCGTCCGCCCGGAGAGCGGAAGGTCGGAGGGATCCCGAGAGCGGAAGGTCGCAGGTTCGATCCCCGTCCGCGTCATACCAAAAGACGTTAAAATATGGTACTTGTTGGTCCCTGCCTGGCACTCGGCATTAATGGGTACAACAAAGACTGATCGGCTCGGAGTCAGTATAATGTGTCTGAGTTGGGTATTCATGCTTCACTGCGGCATGGTATCTCAGTGGGCTAGCACTATAAAACCAGCTTAAGTCTGGGCTAGTACAAGCAGCCACACATACACACGCGCATGCGTCATCATATGAGCGAAATATTCTCAAGCACGACGTTAAACCCAATTTCACCTCACCTCAGACTGGTGTAAAATGAAACTGACTGAGACATAAACGATATTCACTCACTAACTCTTGCCCAAATTGTAGTCCAAGATGCCACTTCCATACTGAGAACAACCACCAACTTTTGTAATTTTATTAGATGTCATATTAGATACATCTGCTTCAGTTTCTTACACCTGAACCATAGACCTGCTAAGAATGGTCTTTCGGACCAGTTTTGTATGTGAGATATTAGACCACCATTTATGGGAATTTACATTGGTAGACTTTTGACTTCATGACAATTGCCAAACTTTGATGTTGGACTAGCGCACAGATGATTTGGATTTTACATAGCTTAATTTCAGACTTGATGATCACTGTCTGACCAATTACACACCAGAGGTATGCCGACAGTTTTCCCCAGGTAAACCCTGGACCTGATGACCACTGTCTATCTGACCAGTTACCTATTTGAAATAATTGTGAACTACAAAGGGATGTGAGTTTTACCTAGCTCTTACCAGGTACATACCTGACATAATGCACCACTATAGATTGACGTCCATCTTACCTAGGTAAACCTTGGATCTGATGACCACTGTCTATCTGACCAGTTACCTATTTGAAATAATTGTCCACTACAAAGGGATGTGAGTTTTACCTAGCTCTTACCAGGTACATACCTGACATAATGCACCACTATAGATTGACGTCCATTTTACCTAGGTAAACCTTGGACCTGATGACCACTGTCTATCTGACCAGTTACCTATTTGAAATAATTGTCCACTACAAAGGGATGTGAGTTTTACCTAGCTCTTACCAGGTACATACCTGACATAATGCGCCACTATAGATTGACGTCCATCTTACCTAGGTAAACCTTGGACCTGATGACGAAGGTATGGCTAGGCATGTTGGACATACCATCCATCCTTCTACATGCTTGCAGTTTCAGAAGGGGAGTGGGGAGAGAGTGGGGAGGGTGAGAGGGGTTAGCTGAGAGGGATTTCGAATAGCATGTTCTACATGGATGTTTTCCACTCAACTGGAAACCAGTGATAAGAATTGCAGACTTAGATATGATTCTTATGCTTGGCAGAGAGAATGTTGGGAAAGGGCCTTGGTTTTATGATCAGATTATGGAGGATGGATTATATACCCCATGTGGGTACAGAGGTTTTCCAGAAGAAAATAAACGAGAATGCTAATAATAGGATCGCTGTTAAGCATTGTTGTTTCGAGAGCTTGAAACAGATGTTTGTACTATTTCTAAATGAATGGCTGTGATATATCTCGGTAATATAATCTCTGCTGCTAAACTTTGCCTAAGAACATTTTGTGTGTGGGTGGTAGAAACACGATTGGTGTATCCTGTAAAATACTTATGTTTTTGCTGATTTACTGGAATATTTGGTATTTTGTTAAAAACAGTTCATTCTGAAAGCCACTCAAGTTGGGAAAGGCTGGTAAGCGTTATACTGATTGTATGTAGGAAAAAGTTATATTTCAATTTTACAAGGAGTAGAAGGTCTTGTTGGAATAATCAGTTGTCTTGAGAGCAAAGTCAGTTTAAAGATTTATGTTTGAGTTTTGTATGACGAAAACCTGTTTGTCTGTCATCTTAAATAATGAATGTTACAAAAAGTTTTAGTCTTTCAGAAGTTAACAATGGTTGTAAACAATGTAGACAAACAATAAGAATGTGTTCGGTAATTGGCCAGATGAAAGAACAGGTGCTTGGAAATACCAATAAACATCAAAACAAGGCCACATGGCTAAAAACAACCTTCCTTTGAGAGAAATTCCATCCATGTAAGATAAGCCAAATATTTACAGTTACAGCAGCAGCTAGTTACATTCAGCTCCCACCCTGTCTGAGCTAACTGTGAATTATGGCCTCAGTCGAACTCCCACTAAAATGCTCCTAAATGTCAAGCTGTTAGCAGTGAATTGGTCACAG